ATATATATATATATATATATATATATATTATAGTATATATTACAGTATATATATTATAAAATTATATAAAAAAGTATGTATAAGAATAATAAAATCATAAATTTTATTAAAAGTTTACTTACATATTTCCATATGTAAATATAATTCTCATTCCAATTCTTCTATTGAAAATGTTGAATTTTGGATTTAACAAGCTGATCTGAAAAAAAAAATAATTTAAGAAAAAAGATATATATATATATACTTTAATTTTTAATACTATTTTTTTATTATTCTAGGATGTAATAAATATGACAATTCAACCAACGAAAAGAAGGGCAAAACAAAACTTACAAGAATTTTAGGTATTCATCCAATATTTTATAATTTTATTATTTTTATTCTTTTTAATTTGTAATATATGTATATATGTATATAATATATAATTAATTAAAATTTAATCATAATAAATAATTGACATAACATGCAATATAATTTTCAAAAAAGACATACTTTTTTAATTAAAATAATATTTTCAACTCAATTTATCGTTATTATGACAAAATTTCAACAAATCATTGGAATGCAATTGTAGATGCATTGACCTTGAAATGCTACCACATAATATTTTGTTCTTTTTACGTTAAAAATGATATTGATTTATGTTATATATGCATATATACGAACCACAAACGAAGGATGATTGAAATTTTCATTCTGACGAAGTTCTATCTTCAATTTAAATACAAAACACAAAAAAAAAATCAAGAAAACGTCAATGCGTGCACAAAACAACAATCGCGCGCCGAAACTAATGTAGAAACTTGCGCGCGCATCTGATCTCGATCACGCACTAATCGATTATAATTTATTTTCGTATAAAAATTTTAATTTTATTAATAATCATTTATATTTTATTAATAATTATGCAAATTAATATATAATTTATTTTTATAAGTTATTAATAAAAAACATTTATATTTATATACGAAGATAAATATTATTATTTCTATTTATTAAATAATTGATATCTATCGATAGTAGTATATTAGATGCGTGCGCATCTAATATAATTAAAAATTCAGTATTGATTCAAAATTAATTTTAAATAAGATCACTTATAATAATGAATAATCCACAAATATAAAAGAAAAATGTTAGAACATATTTCATCAAATAATTTATAATTAATATTGTTTTTTTAATTATAAAATAGTTCAAGCTCGTTCATTTTCGTGCTAAATCTCGTATGTTCAAAAATCTTGCGCGCGCATCCATCTAATTTGTAATTTCTAACAGTTATTTTTAAACTAGTGTAGAGGCAATAGTGTTTTTTATTTTTGTGATTTTTGTATCGTTTATTGTTGTTAAATTAAATTTAAATCAAGTAAGTCATTATGAATAATGATAATTTCTATTATATTTATAAAAAATAAATCACAAATATAAAGGATAAAAAACAATTTTTAATTATAAATAATTAATCTACGTCATTAAATAAATTTTCGTTTTGTATTACGAGAATATCTATGATAAAATAATTTTCTATTTTTTTTTATTTAAAGGAAAATTGAGAAATTTCCGGGGATCGGATGATGCAGATCGAGTGTCACAAAAATTCAGAGTTACCGATTCATATAATATGACACAAGGAGATAGACTCAACGAAATCAAAATGAATAGATTCAAATCATCTCGAAATTCTGAATCACGGCAAAAGAATTATATCGCTTATGGATTAGATGCTTTAAAAAATGCGCGGCGAAGAAAATAAGTAAGTAATTAATATGAAAAAAGAAAAAGTAATTGTTATTTTGCGTTCAAACACGAAACGTTCATTTGTAATTATAATTAAGAATCTATCAATTCAAACATTATATGTATAATAATTTATATCAAAGTATATACATATAAGGATAAGTAAAGTCAAAACAAATTTCAGAGGAAAAATGATTTATAGAAAATCGTTTTACATAATTTTATAATCCATTCAATACAAAATGATTCGTTTTGTATAAACTAAATAGAGAGATTTCTTGAGAAGAATTATTAAAAATAATTATATAGAGAATATAATTTCTAAAAGAGTCTCATTGATATCTTTTTTTTTTATTTTTTCATATTTTTATTTTTTCTTTTTTTCTCCAATTTATTATTGTATTATTTATAGATGTTTCAATGAAACTTATTTAGAAAATTCTATATATACTCTATATATTTAAAAATAATTTTCACGCAAAATAGTTAGATAAATAGTCGAATCGACAAAACAGGAGGTATTCCATCGAAATAGGTTTTTCAGAAACAAGAATAGCCATAAGTTTCTAAATTGTATATGACTTTGCCTCTCTCAAAGCTTTTTATATAATTATGCATCAATTAACACTTTTTTCGATAATATTATTTATTTTACTTTGCTTTTACTTTCAAATTGCGAATCTTGATATTGAGATCATATATTATTTTAAATTTAAATTAAAATATTAACTTTGTTGAATAAAGAAAACAGAAATTGATAAAAATTTATTAGAATTTTCAAAACCATAGATCACAAATTTCATTAATTCAGGTAAAATCAAGAAGAAAAATTGTTACATATCTGTGCAATCAAAAGTGTTAATTAAAGTAATCCATCGTTCATATTTCGCGTTTCATCTTGAACGCTTTTTGTTATTTATATTTTATGATTACTATTCCATTACATTACTATCAAAGTTTATATGATACATAAAACATATTCATTTATATACCCTATGATTAGCAGGAAACCGTTTGAAATAGGGTATATGATTGTGCAATTTAACATCAATGTGAAGTCAAATTCATAGAAAAGAATAAAGGAAAATCTTTCCTTCTGGAATTATAAGTTTTATGATAAATTCATGATTTCATATTACACGACTAAAAAGATTAAAGACTAATCGAATTCTGCGAGTACACTTATAATCACAAGTATTATTTAACACAAAATAGTATAAGAAAGTAATTAATTAAATATTTCTTATTTTTTTGTTTGTGTTAATGCAAAGAGTAATTTATTTTATTTTATCGCATTTTGAATTTTCATCACGTATCACAATGATTATAATTTGATAGATAAAAATGTAAAAAAACAGACCATGAATTTAATTTTTTCCATGATAAACACTGATAAACACTTTTTTTCGATATTCAATTTTTTATCATTTTGATAGATTTAATTCTGCACTGATTGAATGAACATGTCATTCTGTTTAACATTATGCCTATTAATTTGTATATCCAGAATATCGCTTTTGCGTTATCATTCTATTCGATTTTTCACGTGTTACAAAATTTTATTTTATGAAAATTAGATATCTTTTTTATTTGCACTAAGCACATTATTATATTTTATCATATTAGTCATTAGTGACATTATAATCATTATAGATTTCTCGTTAACTATCAAAATTCTTATTATTTTTGAAACTACTTTCCTTTTTTTCTTTTTTTTTTTTTTTTTATTATCGAGTTTAGACATTACATATTAATCGCTCGTACAATTTATAATTCATTTTTTTTATTTTTTTTTTAACTATATTTAAAACTTATAACCAAAAGATAAAAATGGTATATTAAATATGATATTATTGAATATTGCAGACACTTGTACCCCTTAGTTGATCGTCTTTTTGCTTTTTTCGTGTTTTTTGTTTTCTTTTTTTTTTTTTTTTTTTTTGTTTTTGTTTTATTTAATTTCCTTGACTTTAGATATTTCAAGGAAAAAATGTAAAAGTTTATAAGCAATAATATATGATATTCAAGATGATATCGCTGATTTTCTGAGCTTTATATCGTCATTGCCTCCTTAGTAATCTTTTTTTTTTCTTAATTTTACTTGAAATCTTTGCGGTTTCAATGTTGTTACATTAATGTTAAGAAAAAAAACTGCATCAGGATTTTGTAAATATTTGCACTCTTGTTAATTCTCTTTGCATTGTACAGTCTTTTTCAAAGTTGTTGATGTTATTATGCAATTTCTAACAGACTTAAAACTTGCCTATTTTTTTTTTTTTGTTTGTTTTGCAAAAAAACACCATTCCATCAATTGCTCTTTAAAGAGCGGTTTATAATGCACCATATTATTGTATAAATTATCAAGGTCACACCGCTCTGTATAACGTTACACTCGCAATATGTTGATTTGCCATAACTTCAACAATCGCATCGCGTATACCATAACAAAATGTGCAACCAAATGGGTTTGTTGTGTTCGTCGAGGAAGCACGGTTTAATACTACTGGCCGTGCACTAGCCTTCAATTGCTCACTTATTCTATCCCATTTCGTATAGGCAGTGATCTAAAGTAAACAATTTTATTATTAAATATTTAAATATTAAAACATTTATCAGAACAGTTATTGTTATTTCCATTTGTCAATATAGTTTGTTTAACAAATCTTATTTAAATATTTATATTATACCGTAACTGGAGAAGGGGAAACATCTATGAGTTTTCCCGATTCGGTGGAATTATTTTCTGGTGGAAGAGTTAAAGAAAACTCGCAGCGATGATACATGTTAAAATTATAATGCCCTGGATAATTCGTGTGTAATACAAACTTCTTAACGCATTGAGTTTTGGCATCAAATAAAACATCCTACGAGTGATAAAATATTTAAATATATTTTTTGGCTTGTTTTATCAGATCATTTACATTAAGAAAACTTTTTACCAATCCTAAAGTAAAATAATTATAGAAGAAATCCGACCGTCTTATTTTATCACGTTTATGTGCATGAGGACTATGAATACGCATTTTATCCTCGGCTTTGAAAAACACTCGAGACGGTGCTCCTAAAGCACTTAAAACATCTTCACAAGTGTCTCCAAATAACACCTATAATTATAGGTAATAAAAAAAAAAAAATAAAGAAAATTGTATTACAACGAATGTAAAAATCCTTTTAGTATTTCATTACTCATTTTATAAAACATTCAAGCACTCATAAAAAAAAAAAGATTAAAGTACTATACTATAAAGATACAATATAAATAATATAAAATAAATTATAAAATATAACCTCTTTGGTTAAGCAGCGTTTTTTCGGTTCCAATAATACTCTTGTTACAGAACTACCTTCAGTGAAGAGATGTAATTTAAGACCTCGTGTACGCATTTTATCACGTATAACATCTGCTTTTTCTAAATACAAATTGTTATGATAGCAGACCTAACAAAATATAGTTATGTAGTATCAATCTTGTTTTTATATATGTTACAATACTAACAAAAAATAATTACGAGTGGTAAAGGTGGTGGTGGTGCTTTTAAATTGTGTTCATCACTTCCACCTCCAGCACCCATGTTACCCACATAAATAGCTGTTTTTGCTACAAGAGGAGAAGTTCCATTTGGAAATTGCAATGATCCTAATCCATGTGCATATCCAGGTTGGAACTTTGAGTCAATGGGGAAGTAAAATGATAATCCTCGAAAATTTAATACAAATACCTATAAAAGAAATTTTTGGTTCGGTAAATTTTGATTAAATAGAAGTATAAATGGAAATATCATACTTGTTTGTCACTATCATAAACACCAGGATGAGTTGCTCCAAAGGAATGCTCAATCTGTTCAATAGATGGCAAAACCTCTGGTGAATTGAATGGCAAACCACAGTATTTGAGTTTAACTAACTTCATATTATAAATCTCAATTATTTTGAGCCTTTGCACCACTGGATCGAATATAAGTCGAACTCCATCATGAGGTAAGTTATTACTAAATCTACATCTAAAGGATTCTATAAATATATATATATATATATATTAATTCCACATGAATGAAAAATATAATAATAACACTAATTAAGTTTCTATTAATATGTACTTACACTATCACTATAAAGTACTTGTACTCCCCTTATAATGCCCACTTGGGATTGTATTATTGATACAGATTGAGAAAAATGCATACCTGAAATAGTTATTCTTTTAAAAAAATGACTCTTCAGATTTCATCGCTTTGATTTTTTTAATTATTCTTATTTTTTCATATTAATTTCATCTATATACGCATTAATAATCATTTAACATAATTCCATGATTTTTATTAAATTTACATTTATTTTTAAAATAATATCTTATTCAAATATTAAGTTTTAATTAATTATCATTCTGTTAATTTATAATATGATTTTAGAATTTTAAACAATTAGTCTATACTTGTAAAAAATTATATAATAAGTAACAAAATATTCATAACAAGCACCATTTTCTTTGTTTACGTGCGATTGTCAAACGAGATGTTTACAAATAGAACGAAATAGTAAAGTGCGAATGCTGACATGACAGTAACATCAATAAGATCAGTTAGACGCTGTAAGAATATTCTCTGATTGTCGATCATTTTACAAATTATTACGAATTAATTCGATCATCGTAAAATTATGCGTAATACGACTTAGCCGTGATACATCATTAGTGTTTCGTCACTTGCCTAAAATAAATTCCCACTGCTCGCAACCGAGGGATCTTTCGGGCACCACCTCGAGTTCCAACATTCTATCGATTCTATTGTTTCTGTTATTTTAAATTAAACTATAGGATGCACAACGCGTCTCCAAATATCATGAGAACTGCGTTGTTTCTTTGTCTACGTATCGCACTGTTACTAATCACCAGATAGCCATATTGCTTCCCAAACAATAAACCTCGACTCTCTACTCTCACGGCTGGCAAACTGTCACCGAACAGCTGATACGTACCGCGGAATACGTGAAATTAAATCAGACTATCGGCCGCGTACGGAAACATAATATTATGAGGAAACAGTTCGTTCCGTTCATTATAGATGTCGCATAATATGCCATTCTATCAATTACCGCGAATATTTGAATTTTAAAACTTATTCAATTTTAAATTGATGATTTACATAATATTTAATCACACTTTTAGTTTTTAATTTAATAAAAATATATAAAATATAAATTAGCGATAAACAAGAGATTTTTCATAGACAAGAAATATCGATCTTGAAACAAATGTGCAATAAAATTCTCTTTATTATAAGATGTAAGAGTTAAAGACCATAGATAATAGAATCTTATCTTACATGCCGCAGGGTATTTTACGATTATAAACTTTCAATCTTATATTTAGAAATTTTTCCAAGAATAAATATTTTAGATAAAATATTTTGTTAAAAATTATTCGATTTTTGTTTTATTTATAACGCATACTTATATCAATAGTTCATTAATTTATAAAAATTCTGAGATAAATAATATAAATAATATAAGTTTTATTAGTAAATAATTAAGATAAATTTATCGATCGTGTGAAATAAATCCGGAACGAGTCAAAACATACAAAGAATGTGAATCATAATAGTTAAGATTTCAACAAACCGATTATTGTGTCACAATCAGAATACATACTTTTGCTTTACAAAATCATTATTAGAGGATACATCGTACAGTCGTGCCTATTATGTTATGTAACCATTTATGATAACCATATCGTAAGCCACACAGTCGAGCCTCCAAATACGTCAATGCATCCGCAACTTTCCCTCTAATATGTATACATTTCACATTGTTCACATGTACATTTATGCAAATCGGATCAAAGTTATCAGAATTGAGAAAATAGAATAAAAAGAAGAAGAATGGAAGGAGGAGGAAATGTTAATAATCTCGAGGAAGTGTTTAGTATCAAAAAAACGATTGTAAATGTGAAATGTGAAATATTTCAGTTGTATCTTTAATCATGTTTTCTTTTCGTAGTTTAGATATTAGTAATTTTTGCCACGATATTAGTTATTTCTGTTTATGATTTTTCTCTTCTAATTCACTTATTATATTTAGTATAGTGACTGATTTCACATTTTATTGTGCTTCATTTTTTCTTATTTTCACATTAATGTTACACATTAAATTTGAATTAATTATAATGAAATTTAAGTGAGGGAAAAGGAGATGCAAGGATCTAGGGAAAAAAATGGTCTTTAGAGAATACATTCGCTTTATTTTAATAGATCTCTCAATAGATCTCTATTAAGTATATAGAAATCAATTTATTACTTATTACTTTTGTTATGAAAAATTAATACTTTTACTTTTTTTTATTTAAAATTTTCTTCAATAACATTTTGAAGGAATTAAGATATAAAATTTGTCTTTGAATTTTAATGATTTTGCTCACAAACGAATATATTCGCAATACGTTTCCCAATAAATTTGGCACGCTCCTAATGATTTATACAATTTTAATTGAACGCAATCGCGCTCCATTTTTTCCATGCAATCACGAATTAATTCGAATCAATTGACACGATCGTTTGACACAACAAGATCCACGCTTCGACAATCGCGAGAGGATCAGGTAAATACTTAAACAGACGTCACGCAGTCGAAATTTCCGATTTTTCTCGAAAAGAAAATTCGGTTCGATTGAGATAAAAAGGGATTGTGTCAAATCGAATCTATAGAATGCTGCAAGTGCAGGATTAAAACAAAAAACAACTAATAAAATCTGCATCATATTAACGAAAATATATTATACTAACATATTATACTATAATATTCTTGTTTCATATGCTTTCTTTTTATTATTAATGTATAAACATCGATAAATAATATTTCTAAGATTATTAAAACGTTTTTTTTTCTTCGATGAAATAATCATCGGCTAAAGTGGTAGAAAAGAAACAATAAAAAAAGATTCGATATCGTGCTCCTTATCTCTCTTTGTTCACGCGTCTGAAACTCCATCGATAAATAATATCATTCGGGTTTTTGCATATTAATTTCGAAAATATTTGTTTACCCAACGATACCGTTAAAGCTGTTTCATTGTCACGTTGCGTGCGTTGATATCTTTTCGATGCATCGAAGAATTATCGTATATTCGTTATTGTTCGCGCGTTATAAAATTTTTCTCGATAAAAAAAGAACACCGTGAGCTTTGGAGTTTAAGATACATCACGAGCTTTAAAATGCAAAGGTCGTTATCTTTCTAGAAGCTGGAAAAGTGTTCGGTCATGATCCTTTTATCATTCTCGCTTGTTTTTTGTATTTTATTTCGTTCGTGCAGACACGCAAAAATCAAAGCAAATTAATCATTAATTAGTAGCAGTCTAATAGGCGAGGAAAAATATCGCTCTCTGATAAATTCGAACAATTTCCTTAAAATAAGACATCATAGTTAATAAGATGAATCATAGTTGAATATCGTCTGTATCGTTTCCGATAAAATAACGACGAAGAAGACTCCTTTCCTTTCCATTTGCTCCAATGCAATATCTTTAATTTTTCGAAATTTTATTAAATTCAAATAGAAAATTACAACTCGATACAATTCGATCCTGATTCATTCCAAATCTGATTCAATTCAACTTATAACTATTCAGCATGATCCAATTTGATTCGATCTTGAGCTCAAGCTCTTTTCACAGATTCAATACAGATTATGCCCGATTCAACTGTTCCTCTCTCGAATGAACCGAAAGTTAGTTAACTCAACTGATCAAGTTAAGTTTTGAAAACAAAAAAAAAAAAAAAGAAAACGATACCAGCACGATCTGATTTATAAAACGAGATCGATTTAGCTCCGAGGGTGTCTCGTTTCGAAGAAAACGTCGGTCATAAAGAAAACGGGTCATAAAAGCAGGGAAGCCCAACATCCTAGAATTATATTCTTCGTTCCATCAAATTAATCAGAGCGGTATGATTAAAGGTAGATGGAATCCAAACAAAGTGCCAAGTTGTACTCGGTACAACAATAATGTTGTATGAAATGCGGGCAACGGACAGCTTGGATCAAAGTGCAACACATACGCATACATACGCGTACGCGTTTCCTTTCTCTCTGCAATCTCAACTCTCGACGGTGTCTTTTTTCCATCGTTCTAACGTTCGTAGTTTGATCGATTTCCTGTTTGTAATCGATACCTAACTAATTCATATTTCAATCAACTAATTCTATATCAACTTGGCGCACTTCATACGTTTATCAAATTACAATGATATCAATTATACGTAAATGTGCGCACATTTTAAATATTCTCCCTTTGGACTTTGTGCGACGAAAAATCTAGGAAATTGTAATAATATCAGATATACGTGTGTGTATATAGTTTTAATATAGGAGATATAAGTTTTGTTTTCATATTAATTAAATATACGTACGTGTGATAATTTTTAATCGTGTATAGCTTAAATCTAACAATATCGAATATGAAAATAAACGATCGCAATCTTTTCGATGCAATGTAAAGGCAGCTGTTTCGCTTTCCTTGCTCATTTTTTGATCTCGTTATAAGACGAATCATCTTGCTTCGCAGTTCACTGTCTGCTCCCCGATAATTTGTGAACCTTATATTCTTCGCGATAAAGGAAACGAATTCGATTAATCACGAAAAAAATGAGAATCAGAATTTTAATTCTTGAAATAGAATCGATAGAGAGTCGTGTGATGCCTTGTGGAGAACAATGGTTGAAACAGAAATAATTACGTTTCGTTTAATCTCAGATTCTCCTATGGATTCTTAATGACTTAAATGACTTATAACCAATAAAAAAAGATAATTGCCTCGCTGATAACGATCGAAGGACGCTGATATGGGAAGAGCAACGTTTTACATTTAATAACGAAATTTTACGAAAACGTAAAAGATTTTTTATCACTTAATATCTCTCTCTCTCTCTATCATTATAAAATTAAATCGATTTTTAAATTAATTACCGATTAATTAAATGTTGGACGCTGGAAATAAAATTATAAAGTTATAACGATAATATTTGGCGCATTGCGTAATTGTTAGTTGCAGAAAAAAAGTTTTCTGCCTTTCGTTATCTCGACAGAATTGATTCATTTGTTCAGTTTCTTATACTTTGAACTATATTGTCTCGTCGATTAGTTACGAGCATTACGATCCGCATCAATTTTCAAGCAAATTTTAATCATTCCTTGAACTGTTCGGATCGTTGAAATCTTGTTCGGAATTTAAATTGATTATAAGATCGAACAATTTATTGATCTTTATGAGATAGAAGATATATCGGTGGTATTTACATATCTTTTGATACGTTGATTGTTTATTGAAATTTGTTAATACATTTTTGCAATTTCAAAAGAATTTTTAGCCAAAGTTCATCAAGCATTTCGAGCTTCGTATATATTTATCGCGTACCTTTTCTTAAAAGTCGCAATTTTATTCAAACCTGCGATATTTAATCCAAACTTTCTCGATCGTTCAAATATTATTCCCCCAAATCGATCGAAATAGGTTTACTCGAACAATAAAATTTTCCTTGTCTTTCATCAAGGAAACGCATATTTCTTATTTTGATTAACAAATGACGCGTGGATGAAACAGCACCATTTTTCATTTCATCCTCTTAAGCACAGCATTCCTATCCAAGCAAACCTGAAAAGTAATTTTTAATTCTGATTAAAACTCTAAGAATTCTAAGAATTACAACACGCCAATTACAACACAAATGTAATAATAAATCGACTTACTTAAAACTCCTCCAACTTTAAATTTACATTTGCCAAGTACGCACGATATTACGACAACACACGTACGCACATACGTTCAATCCCTCCCCAATTTACGACCGCGTTATATCCCAGCACAATGCGTTCACCTTAACGTCGTCATTTTTCTTTCATTTCGAAACAAGTATTTGAATCCGGCCCAACCGCGCAATCCGCTCCTGATTAATTAAACGCGAGAGCTGGTCGCTCTCCTCGCGCGTGTCTCCTCGC